CCCCAAAACCCCAAAACCCCATAAGATATGAAACAAACTATATATGGAAAAATAAAAATTAATTGTTAAAATAGATAGATAGATAAAAGGGTCTGTAAAAGATATAATTTAATAATTAAATCAATCAAACAAAATATCTTCTATAATGAAATCTTACATTTCTATTACAGCAGCTGCTCTACTTGGAACTGCTTAATCCTCTTAACATTGGGCTATTAACCCAGAATAATTCGATCGTTTTAGAATAGCTCAAATTGAAGTTCCCTAAGTTTAAGATTTCGCTCATTCATTCAAGTTTGATAACTCAGGTAGTTATAACGATATCAATCTGGAGAACAATGAGCAAACTCATCACAAAAAGAGAAGCAAAAGAAGCCATGGAAATAACTTCGCCACAGATGCCAGCATCAAGAATACTGGCAATGATAACAAATTCACAATTACCGAAAATGGAAAGCTCTACGTTCAAGGAGGATTTGGTACTTACTTGCCCGAATATAGACTATATGATGATTTGAGAGTTGAAGACTTTGCAAGTTCTTTCAAATTTGATAATGGTGGATCATTGAACAAAATCGCTATTACTAACAGTGATGCTCCTAAACACAAGAAGAAGTCATCAGGCTCAATGTTCGGTGAGAACTTTAACTTTAAAAATTCAGGAGACGGTAACGCAATTTCATTCTCCAATGGAGACTCATCAGATGGAACTGAGACAGATTTCTCAAAGAATTTCAAATTCACTAACAGTGGAAAGAAAAACAACATTGATATCACTAACAAAGGTGGATAGTTTGCTAAGGATTTTGGTCTTGATAACAAAGGTGGTGATAACAACATTGCTATCACTAACTATGGTGAATAGTTTGCTAATGGTGCTAATATTAAGAACTCTGGATCTCAAAACAAGATTGGAATCATAAATAAAGGCGATGAATTCTCAAAGGGTTTCAATTTAGACAACAAAGGATCTAAAAACAGTATTGGCATTAAGAATGAAGGAGATCAATTCTCAAAGACTTTCTCAGAGACTAACAGTGGATCAAAGAACAAGATCGGAGTAGTTAACAGAGGTGAGCAGTTTACTAATAATTTCAAAATGAATAACAAAGGTTCGGACAATTCAATCGGTCTCAACAACTATGGAGATAAGTTCTCTAAAACCCTAGACATGACTAACAGTGGAGCTAAGAACAGCATTGGAATTAATAATCGTGCTGGCGATCTAACCAACAACTTGAACTTCAATAACAAAGGATCTGACAACTTTATCAGACTTAGAAATAAAGGTGATCAGTACGCTAAAAACATCAACATGATTAATAGTGCCTCAAGGAATGACATTGGTCTCGAAAACAATCTTAATGTCTAATAATATCCATACTACTACACAGTAGCTCCATACTACTATCCATATTGAAGCTATAGAAATTTTAACATTGATACTTATTTATAAACTTTATAAATTTTAACTTTATCAAATTTTATTCTATATTAGGTAATTTCGACAATAAGGGGTTTTGGGGTTTTGGGGTTTTGGGG